GATGCTATGATAAAGGAATAGCTCCTGTTGCTAGGCCCTTTCCAGTGCAGCGTGTTGCATACTTTGTAAAGGGTGGTGGAAAGCACAGGTCCGTAGGAGGATACAGAAGAGGAGTATTTCACACAGATGAGAGAGGGACAGAAAACAGCTTCTAGAGGAGATGACAGCCCTGGGGATATCACTGTTTCTCTAGGCCACTGAAATGGCCTTACGCTGCCAGATTACATGTTTTCAGGGGTGGATATGTGATCTCCCCAAAGCCCCTTTCTTTGCCTTATGTTGGATACCTGGGTTGATTTACCTACTTGTTTTGTTTTTTTTTGAGACAGGGTCTCACTATGCATTTCAGGCTGGTCTTGAACTCACTTTGTACCCCAGTGCTGGTATTATAGACACACACCGCCATGCCTGGCTCTGATTTACCTACTGATATGCATTCCATATCGTCTTCCCAGTTTGGAAAACTCTTCTAATTTCTGACTCTTTGCAAGAAATCTAACTTCCTTAAAATCCAGGACCCTAGGGCTCATTATGGAAGTGCCCCTGGGAGACTGGTCCTGAATCTCTCCAAAGAAAGCCCTTCCTTGATTTTTAGAGATTGGTCAAGGAATGGTGTTGATCTTGGAGTAGAACCAGTAGACAACTAGGGCTCCAGAACTTGAGTATTTGGGTCTCCACTTAAGGTGCATGAGTAGCTTGATGAGAATATTTATTAATATTAGTGTTAAACTAATAATAATAATTAATGTTATTTTTATAAACATAACTCCAGGTTTGCATTTGTACATAAAGTATTTAGACTAAAAACTCTATAAAAGAAGTTGCAGAGTTATACTCGTATAACTAAGATTTTTTTCTCCCTTCTTTCATCTCAGACTGTGCTACTAGTAAAAGACTCAGAACACTCCAAAGCTACAGGATGCATGGGCTAGGCACATGGATTTTTCTTTTTCTTTTTTTTTTTTTTCTGCTTTTAGTCTTTAACAGAGACAGTAACTTAATCCCACATGTATGTGGTTATCTGATGTCCTCACTGCAGGGGTGATTAGCTATTTCATGCGCTGACAGGGCACTAGGACAAGTCTTGTGGCCCTGTTCCTTTTACCAGTGGAAATAGAGCTTTTCTTCCAACCCTTGCTTTTCTTGTTCCTCATTTTCAGGATCTGGTAGGTGCTCCTGTAGATTTCTTTAGATTTCCTCGTAAAAGATAGTAGCAAAGCCAAGCAAACACTTCTGGACCCAAGAAAGTCTGTAAATGGTTAAGTTTCCATGGAGAATTTTGTAAGCATTAACATGGTAACTAAATCTGTGTTGTTCTTTTAGTAGTATAAAATTCTGCATAAACTTTAAAGTGTGAAATGACACCAGTATTTTTTAGTACTGGAGATATAATTTAAATTATAGGCAATAAAAGCATTAGAAAATCTCCAATGCTACCAAGTGTGTCATCAGTGACAACAATAGTTTAATGCAGCCCTTGAGAAAAATGTGGCTATGAGCAATTATCTTCAAAATGAAAACAAACAGAAAGAATATTCCAGAGAAGATATTAGCCGGTCTTAAAAATGTGTGCTGAATGATCTATACACTGTTCCTCCTCTATTGTACTATGTTTCGGACTTGGCTGTCAAGGATGTCTTGATAGTGACTGGAAAACCAAGACTCATCACTTTTGCTAAAATAGTACAGATACTACCAGGAAAATTAAGAAATGGGGATGATTAAACGGCTTGTAAATTTAAGAAAATGCCTACAATGGCAAACATATGCCTCTTTTTCACTTGTGGAGCATTCTTGTCTGAAGCACGGAGCAGGATTTGGGCAGGATTCAGAGGGCAGACCGTGATTTAGGGAAGGGTTGAGAAGGGTTCCGTGCATGTTCAGAGGGAATACAAGGCAGGGGCTCTGGGGCAGAGGAGCCACCTCGGCAGACTTCAGAGGTCAGCAGGAGTTCTTGCTCACTGATCAGCTCTGAGCTATTTTAGCACTCTCCACCCCCAAGGGTGAGTTTGAAAACATACTTCTAGAAAATGGGTGCATTTCCATGAAATGGGAGTTTGAGAGGAATCTGTGATAATCTTAAAGGAAATATTCAAAGCTAAGTTTTCCTCTGAGTGAAAGACATATTTTGGAAATAGTCTAAGAATAGCCATTGTTCACCAGGTACTTTAAAAAATGACAACATTAATTAAGGAAAAAGTCTGAAAGTGCATTTGGGTAATCAACTCCAGACAAAGTGAGAGTGGTCTTAGTTACCTCATTGAAAATTTTCACTCTCAAAAGTAAATAGAAAATTACAGATGCTTAATAAATGTTAATAACTGAAAATGAGAATTTTTATTTTAATCTTTCTGAATGTGGTAATGTTTTTTGCCTTGCTGTCATCTTTGCAATGAAATACATATTTTCTGTTCTACATTTTAGTATTATTTTGGCTCTAATGAGAAGGTATTATTGCAAGAGCTACTGGGATACAAAAGGCTCAGTCAAATATTTATATTAAATATTCTAACACCGCCCCCCTCACCGCCAAATTAACAAGGAATATGTCAAAATAAGTTGCTGTCTCAGAGGTCAACAATAGATGATTCACACTTGAAATCAGTAATATATGTACAAAATACCACCTCCGGTGAATTAAATTCATGGGCATATTGTGCAAAAAGCTTTTTAATCAACTGATGTTGCATTTATTTATATATTGAGGATGTTTCTGCTTAAGATTGAGGGACTTAAACCTTAAACTTTTCAGAACTGCTAGTTGTATTGGTTGGTCTTTTAATCCTGTACCTTTGAAATTAAGAATTACTATCTGTGAAAGATTTGCAATGAAGTTATTAAACTATTTTGTGTAGATATCATGATTTCATAGAAATCAGTAATTTTCAATGGAAATTGGAAGTGATTTTTTAAAAAAAGGCCCACTAAGCAGAATCAGGATACAGGGAGAAAAATGATCCCTTGAAAATGTCACAAAGTAGTGCACAGAAAGATTTAGAATCCACAAAAAGGACAGAGAGGTAAATAATAAAGTTCAGTTAAAAATAAGGACAGAGAAAGAATTCTGAGAAGCGAGGGGACTGCAGAGGACTTTGCAAAACTCAGTCAGGTTTCAAGAACATGCTGCAGAATAAATCTTAAACCGTTGTAAACTGCTTAGCTAGCAGAATAAACCTAGTCCAATTTCTTTCTTGCAACTTACAATACTTTTTATAGGCTGTGAAGCAAAAGCAGAAAGCTTCAGAGTCTTGGGAAATGACACAAACTGAGTTAAATACGACTTTTAGGAAACATAATCTGCTTCTGCTAGATAAGATTTTCCATATTTGTTGCAAGTCAGATTAATTTGCAGGTTGAATTGCCCTACCTTCACTTTGGGGTCTTTGGTGGATATAATCAATGTATGCAAAGAATCTCAAGGTGACTTTTAGAGTGGAAATGTTCACTATCACATTTTGTATTGGCAGAAATGCTCTTTTTTCTTTATTCAGTGTGGTAGCCACTGGCCACCTCTGGCTGTTGATCATTTCAAATGTGGATCGTGTGATTGATAACTGATTTTTAAATTGGATTCCATTTCTTTTTTTTTTTTTTTTTTTTTTTTTTGGTTTTTCTCCGGTACCGGGAACCAAACTCACGACCTTGCACTTGCCAGGCAGGCGCTTTTTGCCACTGAGCTAAATCCCCAGCCCCTGGATTCCATTTAATTAACTCAAATTTAAATAGCCCCAGGAGAGCAGTGGCTACTGTCTTGGACACTACATTTCTAGATCCTCTCCATCCCTTTCATGGAAAGCTTCAGGTGTCGTTTCACTACATGTTCTGCATTTCTGGGCTTAAGCATCACCCAAGGCTGCTAGATTCCTCAGAGGCACGGTGGCCATACAGTTGGCTGTTCAAACTGGGATACTTGAGCAGAACAGGGAGTGTTGTTAACAATTATCATGAGAGAAAGGGCCTAATCTAAGAGGAAGGATCAAGGAAGATGTTATGATCTTCCCCCTTGGAAGGTTTGCTACTTGATATTCCATTGGGAGGGAACTAGGCTTTAGCTAACATCTTAGGTTGTTGTTACAGAGAGTTTAAGCACATTCTAGAGTACACATATTTTCACTCTATCATCCCCCTCCATTTATCTAAATCTTTTAACTCATTTCTGATTTCCTAGTGACTCCCAACCATGAAATAATGCCATGTCTAACACAATGCCAAGTGACTGACTAAATGAAGTAACTGACAGCTGAAGTTAGATTAAGAATCTGAACAGTTAAGTTAGTTTGGACATTTTAAGCCTTCCTGTAGTTTTTTGACAAGAGGCAGAAAGTGTTAAAAAAAAATCAGATGAGGTTTTATTTTTTTTATTTGCAATAAAATCACTCCTTGTTCCATAACAGATGTAAATTTTCCCAAATCAATTAAAGTGGGTGGGTTGATCATGCCAAATCTTGAATTTCTTTTTATGAATTAGGGAGAGGATGCTGGAAATATGAATTTAACTGTCTTGGGTATTCTCTTAGGCCTCCGCTATCAATTGAGGAAGCACAGTAAGGTCGACCATTAGTAATTACACTTCAGGAGACAGGACCAAGTTGCTATAGAGTGTTTAGCCTGTTTGAAGTTAACCTGAAGGGGTTTTTCTTTAATAAAAAATACAGAATATATATTGCAGCAGCAGCATAAAATTAATTTAAAAAATCTAATTGCATCAATAAACTAAATGTCCTTAAAATAATGAACATACACAGCATGCCAAATCTCATGTCATGCCTCCAGTATTGCGTGACTTTGCAAATCCTATCGTTTAGAAGATATTCTGTGTTGAATACAATGTGTTGTGGTATGAAGACAAATTGCTTCATCATTTGATAGGCATGTGGATGAATAGAAAAAGGGAAAGGACTTATTCCATATGATTCACCAGCTGCAAAAAGAATTTGGTAACACTACCTCCAGATAATCCGAGGCACATCCCGAATCATTTTGCTCGAGTTTCCACTAACCTGATGGCTCGGATGACAGTTTTAAGTGGTGGGGTGAGGTCTTCTACTGATACGTCGCACTGGCATCCCTTCTCATCATAGACATCCTCAGTGCCAAGCGCTGTGTCAGCTGCAAGGAAAACACCCATTAACACCAGCAGGAGCAACTGAAACCACGCTGCCGAGTTTGAGTCACACGGGGACAGCGGGGTATTCACAGACTGAGCACCTCAGCCAAGGCACACACCAAGTCACCCAGTTGTTTCCCCAATAGTCTTTTCTCTCCTTTCTCTACAATCTCTCCAGTCTTATGTGCTGCACATGAAGTCTTCTTTGAGCTGTTTTCCATGGGGAAGACAGTGGTGAGGGATTTGTTTTGATCTGCCCATGTTCTTTTGCCCATTTCTTTGGAAACTAATAGCCAAGCTTAAGTAGCAGATGTTTTGAGGTAGGGAAAGAGTCTTTGGACACTTACTTAACTGCCCTGTGCATGGAGAACTCAAGTCCTGTGACATTGACCTCATTAGCCCTATGCCTTGAGCCAAGCAGCCTGACTTAAGAAAGCTGCCTATTTATTAGTTACTGGACACAGGTGGTGGTGGTCCAGGGGAGAACTTGCTTAAGACAATCTCTCCAAGCTGAGAGCAGATTTTCAGACTGGATAAGAAGTGGGTTTCTCAGAAACAAAGCTAAGGTACTCCAGCACTCATTGCCACATTTGGAAAAGGGACAGGATTGCAATAAATACTACATATCAAGAATTTATAAAATTAGCATTTTTTTTTTTTGTGGTACCAGGGATAGAACTCAGGACCTTGCTCTTGCCAGGCAGGTGCTTGTGCCACTGAGCTATATCCCCAGCCCAATAAAATTAACATGAAATAAATTGGTATCTTTGCACTTTTTCTAGCAATAAAATGTTAAAAGCAAGTTAAAATTCCTATAAGGGGAGATAGATTAAATGAATATTGGGAGGTTTATACAATGGAACATTAGATGGCTGTTAAAAATGGTGTTGAAGACTAATGACTGGGAACATGTCACAATGTAGTGTTAAAAATCTGTCTATTTGGAATTAATGATTTTTTAAAAAAATTTGGTTATATTTTCTAAAATTTCTACAATAAACATGTATTACCTTAGTATGAAAAATATTGAGATCCTCAAAAACCAAGCTAAGGTCATAAAAATGCACTCATGAGAGACAGGTTACATGGCCTCTACCCACTATTCTTACATGGTGACATACGCAACAGGACTAGTGGCTCTTTGCATAGCTTTCTCTGTGCAGTATCCATTTTCTGAGTCATGAAATGAAGGGACTTCTCTACAGCTGTCCATGTTAGATTCAAAGTCCAACATGCTATTGAAGAGTCTTCTGTTGAGGCAGTGCTTGCATTTAGAAGTATGCAAGTGGTGAACTACTTAATTCCAGCAACATTTGCTCTGCTGGAGTAGAGGTGATGAGAGGGGATATGATCAGATGTAAAGATGTATATTCTCAATTCTTAATCTTGGTCCCTTTGGTCTGTTTGCCCTCAAGCCTAGTAAGGTGGAGAGATGGAACTATCCACTCACAATAATGCTGGTAATTGAACAACTGTCTCAATTTATCTCACTGAATTCATACGTTGAAAGTCAATCACCAGTATGATAGCATGGACCCTAAATGCCACAAAATTGTCTTTATAAGGGATAGAAAAGGAGAAGACCAGGGGATATGGATGCAGGGAATGGAGTGTTGTATTTACAAGCCAAGGGAAACTAAGGATTGCTGACACCCCAAGAAACTAAGGATGGTTTTTCTTCCAGTCTCTAGAAGGAACCAACCCTGAGAATACCTTGATTTTGAACTTCTGGACTGCTGAGCTCTGAGACAATGTGTTCCTGTTAAGTCACCCAATTTGTGGTAAGCAAGAAACTAACACATTTGGGGAAACCTCTTCATGATATCCAATTCTTCACTCCAAGACAATAATAGTAGTAGGGACTTTTTAAAGAACTCTAATTATGTGCCAAGAACTTCCATTAATTGCTAGAAAACCCCATGAGTTATGCACTATTATTACACCCTGTTTTACAGATTGCAGAAGTGAGGCACAGGAAGCCAAGAAAACTGGTCAAGAACCCATGGAAAGGAAGTGACAGAACCAGAATTTAAGCCCGTGCGGCATGAGAGGAAGTGACAGAACCCGAAATTTAAACCCACGCGGTTGGGTTCTGCAGCTGCTTGACTTTGAGTTTCACCTCTGGCCCCTTCTGAATTTGTCCTGCTTGTCTCTTTTGCTGGCGTCTGGCCTCCTATCACCTGCATTCCGCTTTCCTTCAGATGGCCATGTGTACCCAGCAGGGGTGAGCTTCCCAGCACTGACGGACAATCCACAGTAGGGCAGTGTGGTCACCGCAGCCACGTGCAGAGGCAGTCCACACCCCAAAGGATCCCTGGAAATGCTTGTACCTGAACTTCCAGGAGAGTGTGTGAGGGACCCAAGAGGAAGACAGGCAGAGGAGGGCTCACATACAGGCTGGGTGGCGGGCAGAGCTGAGGCCATCACCTGCCATTACCTGGGCTCTGAGATGCCCACATGTCAGCCACTCAGAAGAAATACTGTGTACAGTACACACGTTAGCAGGATTCCCAGTATAGACCCTAGTAGACAGCTCATGCTGTCCTTCAAAATAGAGGCCTGTTACTTCCTTCCTGCGTCTGAATCCTAGTAAGAAGCACCTCTAGCAGTTCCATTTTATATCTCAAGAAACAGGGGAGCCCTGGAGTGCTGACCCAGAAGGCAGATCTTGCAATGCCTATATTGATGACCTCTCTGTTTGAAAACAGTGCAAGTAACCTAATAGGAAGGTAAAGATCAAGCAGTTAAAAAGCATAAAATGGCCGGGCATTGTGTTGCACACCTGTAATCCCAGCACTTGAGAGGCTGAGGTAGGAGGATCTTTGTGAGTTTGAGACCACCCTGGGCTACAAATTGAGCTCAAGGCCAGCCTGAACTGCATAGCGAGATTCTGTCTCTAAAAAAAAAAAAAAAAAAAAAAAAAAAAAGCATAGAATGTAGGTCTTTGATTGTGAAGCTAATGCAAGACTATTTTTTCACCAGGTGTGTATTGTCACAACAGCACCAAAGTGAAGACAATGAAATTAATGTCCACCACTGAGTGTAAGCAGAGCTGGGAAGATCTCAAGGATCCAAAGCAATTACTTCCTCGCTTGATGCTGTAGTCCTTTAACCCCAACCTGTTCCCTCCCAAACAGACTCAATCTGTCCATTCTGCTCTGGAACAGGGCTGGACAGAGGATGGGACAGGATACGAACGCTAACTACATTATCCCCCAAAGCATCTTAATGGGCAGTTTTTATAGCACTTTCCAAGTTAAATATTCCAGGTATGAATGAAACAGTCCTGGTGTGTGTGTGCTTGTGTGTGTGTGTGTGTGTGTGTGTGTGTGTGTGTATGCGTGCACGCACGCAGGTTTCATTAGAGCAAATGAATAGGAAATATGTCTTTGCTGGTATGTATTGAGGTAGAAGATGAATTAGGGCTATTTATTCGCCACATAAAATGGGGATCTTATTTATTTAATTTTGCTTCATAAATATCTTGAGATGTCAATTTTCTTTTCCGTGAGGTTGATGCCACACTAAATGCCTCTTTTATGATTCCTGGTGACTTCAAACTCTCTCTGAATGCCCCACCTGGGCGTGGCTAAATTTTCAGCTGTCTCCGCCTCCACTTCTGGGTCTCTGTGGTGGCAGTCTGGGAGATGCGGGCTATGGGAACATAAGCTCATATCAGCACCAGACTGCACAACAGCTAGCCACAAAGGGCAAGATGCCAGCAGAGCAAGAAACTTTCTAAGGTCCTGCTCCCTTTCCAGCATCTTTCTGCTGCACCCACCCTTGCTCAAGGTCCATGCATGGGGCAGGGGAGGAAAGAAGCATAGAAACGCAGCTCTTTGTCTCTACCAATCCTTTTCTGTTTCGTTCGTGCGTGCGTGTGTGGGCGTGTGTGCGTGCGTGCATGTGCGTGCATGGGCGGGATCAAAGATGTAACCCTGGACCCTGACAGGCTAGGCAAGCACTTGACCTCTGAGCTACACCCGCAGTCCCGTTTCTTAATGAGTAGTGTTCTTGACTTGTTTTCAAATATATTGTTTTCCTAAATTTTGGAAAATCTAAACAGAAATTTGGAAAGCCACTTAATAAAATTGCTACTTTTCAGAGAGTTTGGGAAAAAAAACGTTTCGCCCTTAGGTGGTGAGGGAAGAAGATGGAAAAGAAAATATCTGCGAAACTTGTGCTACGTCCAAAAACCATTTTTCTTTTTTTTGTTTTTCTTGTAAAACTTTGTCATTAAGATGCAGGTATTTATGGAAGACAGGTAGTCTCTAGTTTTTTTCCCTCTGGGACCGCTCCTCTTAATGATTAGATTCCTTTGATCTCTGTCTCTCTGTCTCTCTCTCTGTCTCTCCGTCTCTGTCTCTGTCTGTCTGTCTGTCTCTCCCCCCTCCCCTCTCTCTCTGTCTCTCTCCCTCCCTCCCTCTCCATCTCTCTGGTTTGGAAATGGGGATCCCAGCTCCTCAACTCAAGAAATCACTTCAGCCTTGTTAGCCAGTGAATCTACAGACAGGTGCCGTCACGCCTGGCTTTTTCAGCACTTCTTGAACTGCTAGCAATGGGTTTCAACTGTGGTCAACATTGGAAACACATGGGGAGTGTTAGAAAATGCCAGCACCAGGATGCTCTCAGGACCCACACTGGAAAGTGAAGGCTGGAATTCAGATAGCTCAATTTTTTAAAAAGGTCTCCAGAGGCTTAATATTTATAATGATAAGGAGCTTATGTGAATGAACTATGACCCAAAATATGAATGCACAAGCACGTCAGTCAAGGGAGACTATGAGGGCTGGGGCTCTAGCTCAGTGGTGTAGTGCTTCCCTGCAAGCCCTGGATTTGATCCCCAAGACTGCAAAGAAAACAATTATACTCTCCTGAAAAAGACCTGTGTTTAATATTACTACTGATAAAAATCCATTCATAAAAATATGGACTTATAACTTTGTAATTTATAAAAGCATAGTAGTGAGTAATAAATTGTTGAGAGGAATTTGGTACACTTTGTCACTCACTACTTGTGATCATATAAAGCAGAATAAATTTTTATAGTAATAAAAAACTGGAAAATTTATACTCAGAAGTTTTATAATTTTGTTCCAGAGAAGTTTTCATTGCAAAACAACTCCAAAAAGAAAGCCTAATGCAATAATGTTTATTGTATTATTGCCTACCATACAGAAATAGTTATATAAGTTTCAGTGTCCCAAAGTATAAATGATCATATTAGTATCGGATCATGGAAGTGAACTATGTAGCTATGAAAAATATAATTATGAATATTGTGTAATAATATGAAGACATTTTTCAACATGCTGCTAAATAAAAAAGCATAAGCTAAATACTCTTGTTCACCACGTCAATGACAAGAGAAAAGAAAAATGGCTAGAATGTGTAAAAATGAAATTAGTTATACTAGGGTATGAGATTATAAATTATCTTCTAAATTACTTAAAGAATACAAGGATTTTTTCCACCTTAAAAAAAATGTGTGTTTTTTGGGGATTGAACCCAGAGCTCATGAATGCTAAATATATATTTACTATACCCTTAACCCCTACTTAAAATATTTTTTAACATGAAGTATTCAAAAAATTGAAAAACAATTAGAGTGAAGAGAAAATCTTCCAAGATTCCAAAACTTAAAAACAACCAGCACTGTGATATGTTTCATACAGTAAGGATGTGAGGGATAAAAGTTCATAATTTATTTTTATTTTATGAATTTAAAAGAAGCATGCCATGATTTTATTTCCTTATGTTATGCGGAACACCCCTTAAAACGGCCACTATTAGTGGTGGTGATAATTAAAACATTACATCCTGTCATGAATTGTAATCTATTTTCTTCTGCTGCTGGTTGTATTTCAATTGTGCCCCCAACTATCATATTTCAGTATCTTAAATATCTTCCTAAATTTAGAAGTTTCATTTTAGACATGCGCTAGTCCAAGGATGATTCCCTTAATCCAGCTGGAGTTTAGAGTCACTGCTTGGGCCCTGATGCAGAAGCAGAGTGGCCTTTCACTCTGTCCTGGGCCAGGCCTTTCTTTTTTCTGTTCTGTAGTGGATGCTGTGAAGTTACCAAGAGACACACTGGGTCCCCAAGGCAGGAATAAGGAATGTGGAAAATACACAAGAGGATCTGTCCTTTGTCCTAGATATTTCTCCTTTCCAACACATTTTATTTTAACATGGTTTCCCCTCAGTATAATACATGCTTTGAGTCTTTTGAAGAGTTTTGTTTTTATGCATTTTCTATTTGAATGGACCACATAAAACCTGTGTATTTTTGCAAGGCACAATGTGCTGCTTTGATTCATCTATAGATGGGGTAATTAGCATATCCTAGCCTGAAACTCTTATCTTTTTGTTTTTTGGTAAGCACATTTTAGAATCTCTTCTGACCCTTTGGAGGTGCCTAGCGCATTAATGTAAACTGACTGTGCCTCAGGGTATCAGGACTTCTTTCTCTGGGCAACTCTAACATTGTGCTTGTTGACCAACCTCTCCTTATCCTCCCCCCTGACTTTTTAATTAAATTACACAGAATGAGAAAAAATGTGTCTGTGGTTCTAACATTCTGAGGCAAATCCCATTAAATTTTGGCACTTTCCCTTCTAGGCTCTTTCTTTGCATCAGCTGATGCTTGATGTCAAAGTTAATTTTTTAGCACAGATTTAAAGTTAAACCTCACTGGTTGCCATGTGAGAGAAATTTATTCTGATAGCTCAAAAGCGCATGCTCAGCCATATTTACTGTGGTTTATCCACTCATGCCCCGGCTGCACCAAATGGCCAACAGCTTCCACAGTCTAGGCTGCTTGAGTGCTTGTCCAGAGAGGCATGGTCTGTGTGTCACCACCCTCCCCTCCTTTCCTTCCTTTTCTGTGTGGTTGGTGATGTCTGGGTGCTGAGTTACAGAGATCAGGTAAAATAGGCATGGGGTACCAACAGCAAAAGGCACCCAGAAATGAGAACACCACATTCCTTAGAATGAAGGGTTCAAATCTCAGCATCCATGTAGCTTCTGTGTCATTTTGCAAAGTAGAATTGCATTCTACAGTCTAGCAATTCATTTCATTTTGTGTTATCCCGAGCAAAGAGGATGAGGGATGGAGGGCAACAGGAGCCTGAGTCTCTGTTAAGTGCCTTGTGAGCCTGAGACTGGCCTAGTCCTTTCTTCTGCACTGTGTTGACAGACATTTTAGGACACGGATTACAGCTTTACTGGATTGCTAATGAGCCTTGCCCTTGGTAGAAAGCGGGATCCATGAGGCAAGACCAAATGTTCTCATCCATGTAGGCAAGCTCACGATTTTGGCCTTATTGTCATGTACACTATGTGTGTGTGTGTGTGTGTGTGTGTGTGTGTGTGTAAGACCTTCAGTAATTAGATATAATTCAAAATCCTACTGTGAAAAAACTCATGTTATCCTCCAGTGTTTCATTTTTGTAAGACTTTGAAGTAAATTTTCCCTGCATTTAACCATGAAACTATTGAAGAGGCAAAAGACATTTAGTATATAAAAATGAATGACTGCTGTTGTCTGAATGAATATTGTATCCTATACCTGGATTTTAAGATAGAAATGCAACCTTCAGGCCCTCTTTAAAATGTTGGTTTATAAATTTATAATTAGTAAATAATAGAGGAATTTTAATGCCAGAAGGAAAAACAAGAGGGATGTCTCTCTTTCACACGAGCTATCTACATTATTCATATTAATGTAACAAAGAAGTCAATCCACACTTATTTTTCTCTTCAGGGACAATGGAACTCTAAAGACAATGTAATGTAAATGTATTACAGGGAGACATAGGGTTATTTCACACGTCACTTTTGAATATTGAACTCCTAAGTCTTTTCCTAAAAGTGGCTTTGATTTTAGTACCTTACATGTTGACACAGGAGGAACAAACCATGAAATTTCAGTCGTGACCATTATTTACTCAGTTCTGAATTTTATTAGAAGTTAGGAAATCATTTCACTGAATTCCTATAAAAATGAAAGATAATGCTATAATGAAATTTTCATGCATTCATGCATGTATTTCCCCAAACTGTTTTCCTAGAATATAGAATTAAAGCGACAAAACATTTTTAAAAAATTTCCCCAAAGCTGATAGAAAATGTTTTTTATTCAAAAAGTCCAAGTACTCTTAACTGTGGTATATATTAGTTTCAAATACAATGACTTTTTGAGATTTTAAAGCAACATTCTTTTGAAAATTTTTCTGCTTTTATTTGTGATCTTTTAAAAAATGCAAGAAATAATTGAAGACCAGTAAAGTGATTGTTCACATACCCACTAATTACATTCACCTGTTAACATTTTACAGTATTTTATGGTTGACTGATTATTTAAAAGTGATTTACAACAACATATTTAAGCGTGTACTCCTAAAAAGTAAAAGAAAAAATGTCGCAGAATCACAACGCTATCTTACAGATTTGTGTATATCTATAGAGACATATATTTGTATGTTATACATGTTCTGGAAAAGTTTAGAGTGTACACAGGAGATACTGATGAATAAAACAAAAAAACTGCTATTGATTATTTGCTACAGCAAAATTAAAGCCACTTTGGATCTTTGTCATAATAGATATGATCTATGTTGTTAAAATTCCTGGACAGCATCCTCCAAGTGCAATGAAAAAGAAAAATTTGAAAGTAATACTCTAAGTGAGAGCTAATTTTAATATTTTGAACAGGTAATTCCAGTTTGCCATATAGTTTTTTTTTTTTTTTTTTACCAAAATAGAAGTTTAAATAGCAAATGTTGTCAGCATAATTGAAGTTTACAGACTGATTGAAATTGTATGACTTAGCTGCGTGTGTGTATGTGTGTGTGTGTGTATGTATAACACTCTTGACAAGGAACAGAAAATTTGAGGTTCAGAATAAACAGCCATATTGCCCAAGACAGAAATGAAGAGGCACATTCAAATACACTGTGCAAGGAAGTGCAATTTATCTATTTCTTAACTTTCAAAAAGAGTTAGATCTAGAATTCCTGTGAATGTCACATTCCTGCACATCTTTAGAACCCTCAGATCTATGGGAAACTTTCATATGAAAGAGAAAATACGGTTAACCTTTGAGTGAACTTGATTACTTTGGGTGCCTTGGCTTAACGGTAGTTTTCAAACTCTTTTGACTTCCATCTATACTAGGAAATAGCTTTTATTTTGTGATTTGGCACACACAAGCAAAGATGCGTGCACACACACATCAAGACAACAGTCCCCTTCCGGGTTAAGATGGTAGATCGAATACATGTCTAATCTTGCTTCCTCTGAAAAATCCAATAAAATATACTAATGAGATTCTTGAAAAAAGACATAAACTCAAAAAAGGAGAGAATAGGAGATGAGGCAGCAACAACACAGATTTGGAAGTGGGAAGCAGATAGATTAGTTAGGTAACTGATTAGTGGAAAGCAGAGAGAAAAACCCTATACCAACAATAGGGAAAACTGAGAACTGATGACATTTATATTTTAGAAAACTCAGAAGTTCAGGCATCAGCAGCATTAGGTACCAGCAGATCCATGGGAAAGGGGGAATAAGTACAGCAAGGAAGGTTGTGCATCCTCTGCCCCAGAGGGTTGGCCATACAGGCCTCACCTTTTCTAGGAGAGGCTGGGAATCTCAATGAGGAGTCATCAGGCACAGTCAGAGGACAGGCACTAAACCAAAGCTAGGGAAAAAGTGAGCATATGCGGACTAAATGCTGAAGACTCAGCAACTCCTGTTCACTGCTGTAGCAAGAGCAGCCAGGCTTTTACACTCCAAGTAGAAGTTTGAATAAGATATTCTTGAGGAATCTGAAAAGTCCCAGAAAAAACAAGCTAATGATACTAATGCCAGAAATCCTCTAAGAAATGGCTGACTGCTCAACCTAGACTGAGGATCAAAGTTGATCCATCAATAATATGGTCAGAAAGTCCAGTCATCCCTCTGGCCTACCACACTTCATTACAAAGAAACACCAAAGTTCACTAAATATCGTTTTGTTCGCAAAGATCCCTAAATACTGAAAGAGATCTTCCAATACAAAAACAGAGATCAAAAGCAGCTAGAAGAAAACAGAAAGCAAAGAACAGAAAATCTCAATGCACTGTCATTAATATCTTTGCAGATGTAAGGCAAGGTATTACATCTATGCAACAAAAATGAGATGCTCAAATAAAGAAACACTAGGTAAACAACAATAGCAGAAAGGCTTAGCAATGATAACAGAACGCAAATCTTTTTTTTTTTTTTGTCTTTTTTGAGACAGGTTCTTGCTGTGCAGTTCAGGCTGGCCTTGAGCTCACTTTGTAGCCCAGGCTGGTCTCGAACTCACAACAATCTTCCTGCCTCAGCCTCCCAAGTGCTGGGATTACAGGCGTGTGCCACCACGCCAGGCCAGAAATGAAAATCTTAGTAAGAGGTTTGGATGGTAGAATTGGCCAAAATGCCTAGAATGTACAGCAATGACAGGTAGCAAATGAGAGAGAAAAGAAAATCAGGG